CCCCAAACGACGGTAACCCAACGTAATCCAGGTCATTGGCCTAAGAATACGGGGGGGGAAGGGGTGCTCTACCTCTCCCCAACCCTTGGCACGGGCCATCGGATTGCCCCAAACGACGGTAACCCAACGTAATCCAGGTCATTGGCCTAAGAATACGGGGGGGGGGAGGGGTGCTCCACCTCTCCCCAACCCTTGGCATGGGCCATCCGATTGCCCCAAACGACGGTAACCCAACGTAATCCAGGTCATTGGCCTAAGAATACGGGGGGGGGGAGGGGTGCTCCACCTCTCCCCAACCCTTGGCACGGGCCATCGGATTGCCCCAAACGACGGTAACCCAACGTAATCCAGGTCATTGGCCTAAGAATACGGGGGGGGGGAGGGGTGCTCCACCTCTCCCCAACCCTTGGCACGGGCCATCCGATTGCCCCAAACGACGGTAACCCAACGTAATCCAGGTCATTGGCCTAAGAATACGGGGGGGGGAGGGGTGCTCCACCTCTCCCCAACCCTTGGCATGGGCCATCCGATTGCCCCAAACGATGGTAACCCAACGTAATCGGGGTCATTGGCCTAAGAATACAGGAGGGGAGGGGTGCTCCACCTCTCCCCAACCCTTGGCTCGGGGCATCCGGTTGCCCCAAACGACGGTAAGCCAACGTAATCCAGGTCATTGGCCTAAGAATGCCGGAGGGGAGGGGCTCCTTACCTCTCCCCAACCCCTGGCATGGTGGAACCGATTGCCCCAAACGACGGTAAGCCAACGTAATCGAGGTGGTTTTCCTAAGAATACTGCAGGGGAGGGGTGCTCTACCTCTCCCCGACCCCTGGCATGGGTCATACGGTTGCCTCAAATGACGGTAACCCAACGTAATCCGGGTCATTGGCCTAAGAATACCGGAGGGGAGGGGTGCTCTATCTTTCCCCAACCCTTGGCATGTGGGCATAGATTGCCCCAAACGACGGTAAGCCAACGTAATCCGGGTCACTGGCCTAAGAACAACGGAGGGGAGGAGTGCTCTACCTCTCCCCAACCCTTGCCACGGGGAAATCGATTGCCCCAAACGACGGTAAGCCAACGTAATCCAGGTCATTGGCCTAAGAATACTGGGCGGGAGGGGTGCTCCACCTCTCCCCAACCCCTGGCATCTGGGAATCGATTGCTCCAAACGACGGTAAGCCAGCGTAATCCGGGTGGTTGGCCTAAGAGAATCCGGGGGAAGGGGTGCTCCACCTCTCCCCGAACCTTTGCAAGGGTCACTCGGTTGCGCCAAACGACGGTAAGCCAACGTAATCCAGGTGGTTAGCCTAAGAAGGTTAGGGGGAAGTGGCTTTTCACCTCTTCTCACTAATCTTTGGGTAGGACGGTTGCTTGAAAAGTCGGTAAGCCAAGGTAATCCGAGGCCTTTCCGTAGTAATAATTCGGGGAGAGGAGAACTGGCCCTCAAACCACAAGCAAGGCGGATTACCTAGGTATGAAGTCTAAGCTTGTCATGAGGTCCTATGAGGCACCGGCCCGGGCCACGGAGGGCGGCACTCTGTGATCCGGGGGGGAGCGTCCCGTGAGACGTGCGCATGGACTCTCTTCGGAGGGTTGGTGCGCACAGGCCCCAGCGGAGGGGGCGGGGAGCTCTCCAGGTGCGGAGGATCACCTGGGAAAATGGGGAGAGGAGGAACTGGCTCTCGAACCACAAGCAAGGCGGATTACCTAGGTATGAAGTCTAAGCTTGTCATGAGATCCTATGAGGCACCGGCCCGGAACACGGAGGGTGGCACTCTGTGATCCAGGGGGGAGCATCCCGTGAGACGTGCGCATGGACTCTCTTCGGAGGGTTGGTGTGCACAGACCCCAGCGGAGGGGGCGGGGAGCTTTCCAGGTGCGGAGGATCACCTGGAAAAATGGGGAGAGGAGGAACTGGCTCTCGAACCACAAGCAAGGCGGATTATCTAGGTATGAAGTCGAGCTTGTCATGAGGTCCTATGAGGCATCGGCCCGGGCCACAGAGGGCGGCACTCTGTGATCCGGGGGGGAGCGTCCTGTGAGACGTGCGCATGGACTCTCCTCGGAGGGTTGGTGTGCACAGACCCCAGCGGAGGGGGCGGTAAGCTCTCCAGGTGCGGAGGATCGCCTGGTAAAATGGGGAGAGGAGGAACTGGCCCTCGAACCACAAGCAAGGTGGAATACCCAAGGAGGAAGGTTACTCTTTGGGTCCGCTCGGTCCCTACAAACTTCTTGACACTGGTAATATGCGGTCGGTTTCGTATCCCAATCCGCCTATGGCTAGGTGGCCCCCCCTCGTTGCGAGGCGGCGTCATTGACCCATGGGTTGGGGAGGGTAGGATTCAGGCTTATTGGAACCAGGGAAAAAGAGGAGAACCCAATCGGATCACTCCTCGCAAGGGGTCTGAACCAACTGGGTGCTCAACCACTGCCATAAAGAAGTTGATGTCGGTGCAACTTGCAAAACTCATATGCAGTGGTTGAGACGGTCGACTCTTTTTCAGGGGGAAAGCTCGAAGCTCACTTGAGGCCAAAAACCTGGAATGAGACCCATGTTGACTGTGGACGATCTCGGTCGGACGCAGGACGATGCACGGGTACCTGAACATGTTAGTAGGTCAAGGACGGTGTGTCCTAGAGTTTTCTTAACGTGGAATGACAATCGGAAGCATGGTGATGCCACGTGGGAGTTAATGCTTTCGTGGTGCATGGGAGAAATCGCCGGACTATTTCAGTTACGGTGGATGTCTCTAGCATCGTGTCTTTCCACTCACGATGAGATGGCTCGACCGCAATGTCGAGTCTGGGTTGGTAGTGCCTCTGGTTTGAGTGTCAGACTTCGGTTTGTCGCACTCGGTAGATGTAACCCAACTCGTATCTTATCGTGGCTGCAATGGGATGGCTCGGTGGCAACGCCGGGTTCTGTGCTGGTTGTTTCTCTGGTTTGAGCGTGAGGCCTCGGTCTGTAGCGCTCGGTAGAGAAACACAGCCCACTCACATCTCGTTGTGGAGGTTGAGGAAGCCCGTCTCCTTAGCCACTCGGATACGTGAAAGGCATCGCTTGCTCAAACTGGAAGCCAGTGTGTGGCATGTTAAAGTCCCGTACCCATAATCTAATAAACGAGCACCACACAAAAAAGGGGAAGGCGCTAAGAGTATGGAAAAAGGGTTGATGTTGCCCTTGGTCATGCCCCTAAAAGACAAGATGGAGCCCAAGTCGGGTACCCTGGGCCTAGCTGGCGGATACTGGGACACTGGTGGAACGGAGTAAAGCAAGCGTTGTCGAGTACCATATCTGAGCCCGATACGTAAGAGGGGCATACCGAACTGAGCCAAACGGCCACTGGGGCCCGAATCCCGGCTATCCAGCTTTATGCGGAGGTGGTTGAATCGGTGCAAGGCAACCAGCCGAAGTAACGAAGGGAGGTATGTCCCACTTGCTGTACGGCCTTGAGAAGGATGTGCTTGCGTCCTAGGTGGCATAAAAACCACCTAGGCACTAGCACGGAGCTCTCTTGGAATTGTCAAGAAATGAGACTGTGATGGGATCGGGTTGGCTTGTCCCGACGATCAGTGTGATGACTCTTCTTGGACGGGCTTGCCCAACCTCGGAGCATCTTGAGGAGCAATGCTGTTTGCTGACGCGTGAGGGGCCACTTCTTAAGCAAACCTACCAGTGCGGTAGGCGATCGGTTCGGTGCATCCTACTTCCTGTATAGTAGGCGGCGGGCACAAACCGGTCAGCGGCAGTGGTCAGAGCCGAGATGGGGAATTGGACCTATAGAGGATGCCCCTCTGGCCCATGAAACCCGGCTTATTACGACAGTGGGTCGATTGGGAAAGGAGCTCGAAAGTCCACCACGGTGTTCGGTGGCGCTCTGGAACCAGCCGATACGCACGTGTCAGACACGGCAATCAACGCAAGGCGATTGCCAAGTCAGCTTGCTCGGATGGATGTTTCGGTGGTCAAGCTTGGCCGGACAAGGGGACGAGCGCTGTGAAGGCGGGGCATGCTGGGGCCCGAATGCCGGATATTTGGGTATGAAGTCGAGCTTGTCATGAGGTCCTATGAGGCACCGGCCCGGGCCACGGAGGGCGGCACTCTGTGATCCGGGGGGGAGCGTCCCGTGAGACGTGCGCATGGACTCTCTTCTGAGGGTTGGTGCGCACAGGCCCCAGCGGAGGGGGCGGGGAGCTCTCCAGGTGCGGAGGATCACCTGGGAAAATGGGGAGAGGAGGAACTGGCTCTCGAACCACAAGCAAGGCGGATTACCTAGGTATGAAGTCGAGCTTGTCATGAGGTCCTATGAGGCACCGGCCCGGGCCACGGAGGGCGGCACTCTGTGATCCGGGGGGGAGCGTCCCGTGAGACGTGCGCATGGACTCTCTTCGGAGGGTTGGTGCGCACAGGCCCCAGCGGAGGGGGCGGGGAGCTCTCCAGGTGCGGAGGATCACCTGGTAAAATGAAGGGAGATGGCACGGTGGGGGGAGATGCCCTGGCCAAAACGAAAAAGGTGGCGAGAAAGGCAGGGCCGGCTCTGGCTAAGATTCAATGCAGAGCACCGATCATTCGAGGAGTCGAAAGGGCAACGGGAAACCGTTGCAGGTTGGCCAGTTCAGCTACCCCGCGCCCTCCTTGGAGGGCGATGGGTAGATGGCGTGCCTCCTGGGCTGGAGGCGAACCAGGTCGACGAAGGAACAGCGAGGCCTCGTTTCTAACGGGGCTGAGCGTGGACCTCGGCCTGGAGGGAGGGATGGAGCACACCCGGCTGGTGCGGGTGTCGTTGTCATCCCGCCGCGGGCAGGCCGCCGCGGCACGTGGAACGATTGGGGGGATGGCTTGCACACTTGGGGCCAACCCATCACACCCGGCTTGGGGAACCCGGGAGTGAGGCCCGGAGCCTTTGCCAGAGGCTCTGGGCCGAAAATGGGAAGAAATGACGGCAGGCGAGCGAGGGAAGGACAGGCGGGTTGCACCGCAGGTCGTTTCCGAGCTCAG